TTTGCGATCCGAAAATCGTTATACTGTGCTTAGAGAATAGCAAAATCGTTAAAATTATCGTTAAGTCATTATAACGATCCGAAAATCGTTATAATACGATAGAGAATTGCCCTGCTGGCGTTTGAAATTTTCAGCATTTTTTGTTGACCATTCTTCTGAAAATATTGAAACATTCTTCTGATATAAGTTCTTTGCTGAAAATAAAACTGAAGTTTAGTGCAACTACTTAAAGATATAATATATACTTTAGGAACTGGTTCAAGATAAGGAGTTGATAGGTTTGTAGTGACAAAAATATCATTTATTTACTTTTTACTTTCCTTCCAACAATTTAAATTTAGATTTTTCTTTTACTACTATTAATATTATTTCATAAACTTCCTTGTCTAACCAAATGTTTCTTATTTTCTCTTCCATTCTTTTAATTATTTATTTGCAGACAGTATGTCAGTTATTTAATCACATGTGGGTGTCAGAAAAAGATTTTAGTTGTCTAACTTTTTTTTGTAATGGCACTCCATTTAAACAAATAAAAATAATTTAAGGTAATATGGGCATGGACTCGAAAAACTTCCTGCAGAAATCTCCGCTAATATTTTGCCAGTCATTGTAAGCCTTCCGCCATTAAACGTTAATTTTCTGTCACTCATCTGGTAAATTAGAAAACGGCCGCATGTTCGTTTGGGTTCAGGTCTGGTGATTGAGGTGGACAGTCGAGTACTTCAAAGTTGTTGTTTTGAAGCCAAGCTTTGGCAACTCGAGAAGTCATTATCTCACTGGAATATAGCGTCCGACACATTCTTGCACCACAATTCTAAGCTTCTGCTTCTTGTTGGGGATTTCAACATATTAGTTGGCACTTCATCGCCCGGTAACCTTAATACAAATTCTCAACACCCTCCAGTCTCCTACATCCCCACGTCATTGCATTATCCTTCCCAAAGCTTCAACGTTGGTTGAACAATACGGCTAGTCAAAGGTTCTCTCCAAATATAGGGCCGCCCATCTTTTCCCAGGTGTACGTTTCACATATTTTTGAAAATCTGAGCCTAAATTTACCGTGTAATTTTGTCAAGAGTGGTTTTTTTTATTTTGACACGTCCGCGCAATCCATTTTCCCGAGATTTCTTCCTGATAACTTCTTTGTTAAATTTGTTACCGTCACGGTTTTTCCAGTGTGGCATTCAAAATTGGCATTCGCCCAGGCTGGGTTATTATTATCTGTGGCTTAGCGTCTTGATGTTTTTATAAGAAATGGAGGGTCCTACAGTTTATACTAAGCCGCCTCCGAACGGGTGATGGGGTTTTTATGAGGAGCTTTGTTTCATGTCAGACAGAAAAACACTCGGAATAGTTGACATTCCCTGCCGAGAGGCGACCGCAATTAGAAAATTAAGCTTAAGTTTTTATTTAAATGAATTTGCAATGCTAGTCACTCGACTACAGCGCCCGCCAACTATAAATTATAGAATAAAATGAAAAACTTAAACAGCAGAGCAATATTACGTCGACTAACGGGTCTCTACTTCACAAAGTCAACATGTTTATCACACGCCTTCGTCTACGTTTGTAAATATTCTTTGAAAAGTGACGGCACATTTCCAACAATTCCGCACTTACTAGCTGATATTTCATGGGGATATTTAGTGAATTTATATTTTTTATTCAAAAGTTTTTTTAACAAAGATGAACAAAATTTAGTGTTTGGAAATGGTATGTGATTTACAGTCGACATACTGTATATAGTACCGCACAATAAATCAGCTGATTTCAACTCAGCCCGCGATAATGCTACTGAGTTAATTCTTCTACAAATTTAGAGAAAATGTGTATAATCTACCCGAGTAGACGCTTTAACTCGCGGTGAAAAAGTGTTTATGCTTCCGAGTTTAATCTGCCCGAGTAGAATAAAGGCACTAGTCGTATGCGATTACAAATTAAGGATTTGACATGTCGTTGTAGAACACTTTGGTAGTGCACATGACACTCGCATATTTCGTAATAGTGCTTTCTTCACTTTTCTTTTTTTTCATCAACACAATGGTTGGCAAGCGATTCTGCTTGTTCAATTTTTGACCACACTTATCACTGCATTTCGTTTCAATTTGCAAGAGTTAGACTATGCCAAACGCAAAGCTTTTAACTAACGTTTTTACAAAACTTTGGCACCTCTGCCTATTTCGACCATGTCAAATTACATTTGGAAGTTTGCAAAGAATATTCACATCGAAATGGAAGCCGGAGTGCAACAATGTAAATGAGTCTTATTTATTTATTAAGACATAAATAATTGAATCTATATATGGAAACTATGCCAGGACGACAAAAAAAAGCGGAATGAAAACAATATCTTCCAAATTAAAAGGGTCGTTTTTGTATCATAAAATTTTTAGCATATGCCATTTTGCACACATTTTTTCATCTTCAATGAATAATAGACCTAAACTATGCCTACACATTTTGGTTTTTATTTTTTCTCAAACTAACAACTCAAAATCAAACAGCAGATATGTTGCTACCTCCCATTTCGCGGGCAACAAAATTAACAGGTGAAAATGAACACAAAACACGAAATAGTAACAAGATTTACTGAAAAAATAGGCTTGATAGTACCGATTTCATATTTTGCTACCCTCTCCTTGATTTCCAATTCCAATCCATTTGTCTTCAAGCTCCCACTGCTTCACTTCCAGTACCAACTTCTTCATATCATACATATCCTTCTGTTTTTGGAACTTATTTTCCTCTAAACTAAGTCGCTGTTCCATTTGAAATTTTTGATTCTGCACAGCAATAAGCAGGTAAACGGCGGTGAGGCTGCTCCGCGAGATGTTGAGGATGAGGCGGTGGGAGTTATTACAGCGGAGGGTGCAGCACATGGTACCTCGAAGCCGACAATTTCTTCTACAAATGTATCCACTGGCGGCGTCCGGAATGCGGTTACCAAAACTTTATTTTAACCGCTCGAAGTGTGGACATATTTTCGAAATTTTTGCTGAAAATATTAAGAATTAGTTAGAAATTAGTTAGTAAGAATTGTGGAGACAAATCGTCTTCTACCGTCTTGCCATCAGCTTAATCGAAGAGCCCAACTTAATTTTTTGGAGAACCTCACGTTCGCTCTATTTCCTTTTAGCATGCTGCTTTGGCCTATTTGTCGGCGGCGCGCTTCCTTCAGTCATTGTATCTTAAAATGTTGAATTAAGTTATGTAATTGATAGAAATATAACAAAATATATACAACTTACCTTCATCAACAAAATATTTCCAAAGCAATAATAAAAGACAGCTGGCATAGGGTCGCATTTATTTTGCCACATTTCATTGCAAGAAATTTAACATGGGTTCATTTTGCAGCTATTGCATAAAATTGCGTGTGTTTTGTTGTTATGGTATTGCGTTGTGTTTGCTAGCGTAAACACCGTTTACGAGATTATAACCGAGTTAACAACATTGTGCCATTCGTTTCTACTTTTTGCGCCAATACCAAGTACAGCCACGTCCTTCTCTACCTTGTCTTTCCATCGTAGTGGAGGTCTTCCTCTTCCTCTGCTTTCACCGGCGGGTACTGCATCGAAAACTTCCAAAGTTGGCGTATTCGTATCCATCCGGGGCAAATGACCTAGCCCGCGTAGCCTCTGCTTTTAGATTTGCGGAACTATATCAATGTCGCCGCTTAACTCGTACAGCTCATAGTTTCATCGTCTGCGATATTCGCCGTTGTCAACGCGCACAGGACCATACCCATCAGATGTAGTGTAATGAATATCTGCGGTGTGAAAGCTCCAGCTGATTAGGACTATTATTATAAATATATATAAACACATGTATATATATATAGGTTTGTAAATATAAAAAACAAAAAAGAAAGAGGCTTAGAAAAATTATATGAACTTCATATGTCTGTATATCCATATTGGATATTCTCCTTTGTAAATTGATAATCTTTGAATGCTAGGATTCGGTTGAAGTCTGCGATTCTCAATGGAAAGAAATTTCCGCAGTGTTCCCAGAAGTAATGCAGTACTCCTCTGGCGGTAATAAGCGAACTCTCCAATAATACATATTTACAAGACTTTCTTTCTTAATTGCTCCAGGAGATAGAGGTTAGGTTATGAAGCTGGTTTACAGTAAAATCGTAGACGTACATACTTTATTAATTTATGACGATTTATTATTTAGCTAACTTGGTCCTCTGACGGTTCAAATTTATCTCTTCGTTGTTGTTGTTGTTACAGCAATTCGCTAATCCCGCTGGGGTACAGGTTTGATCAATCTAAGTCGCCGAGGTCATCTAGTGAGAGGTCAAGGAAACTAGCTGTTACGACAGGATTGGACCAAAGGGGGAGGGGAGTTAAATGAGCTGCTTAAAGGGGGCATGCGAAGAGGTGGCTGCGGTAACATCCCATCAGAAACTGCTTGCATAGAAAACATTAGGCTCCTTAACTCGTAGCATAGATGCTTCACAGTGCAAGTGATGCTCCTGCGACATCAGGAGATTTCCTGTTGGATTCCTGAGGGCGGTATTCCGGAAAGCCTGCGTCTCGTTCGTCCACGGTGTCAGGATCGATGAAGCGTAGTATACGACCACCAAAGTTTCCTTGTCTTTACCCCAGGTACTGCCCACTTGCGCTTTGAGCATTTTGTGGTGGCTCTGCAGTTTTGTGGCGATTGCGGTCCTATGCAGAGTGAAGGAGTGAAGGAGTGCAGGCTATCTAGTGTCACTCCCAATATCTTTGGGTTGTTTACAGTCGGAATTTTTACGTCAGTTTCAGATGTCGTGCAGTGAAGAAGTGAGAAAGATCGGCAAGATAGCAGTTCACTTTCTAACACAGGTCATCAATATCCGGGCCAGTCGCCATTATCGTGCAATCACCGGCAGACGATGTTAGGGAAACTCCTTCTGATGGAGGAGGAAGTCTCGAAATGTAAAAATTAAACAGTAACGCAGAGAGAAGACCACCCTGCGGAATCCCCTGTTAAATTTTTCTGCGTTTCGATGTTTCACCTCGAAATATTACCGATGGTTGTTCACCACTCAGGTAGCCCATGACCAACCTCTATAACTTCGGTGGTAATGAGAATTCCTGAATGTGTTTTAGTAGCACTCAATGGTTGACTGTATCAAAAGCCTTGGACAGGTTCAGTGCTGCAAGGACAGTTCCTTCCCGTTTGCCAGGTCATCGCGTCTCGTCGAGTTAGACAACTACTTGACTGTAGCCCAGAGCTTGGTTGCTCCAGAGGAGAGGTTGCAGGTCCTTAAGTGTTCCTCCCACTCTTTCCGCTTGTGGTTGTTAACTACTCTGCGTATCTCCGCGTTTAAGTCCTTGATTAGGGGATTCCCGGGATCGGAGTTTCGAAGGGTTCCGCGCCTGGATGGTAGTACCGCCGCTTCTGTCGAAAAAATTTGGGTAGATTTTTGCAATTCGGCTTGCCGGGATGAAGCGGGTAGCAGCGGTCAAGACGACCCTGCGGAATAACGTCCACCAGTAGAGACGTCTGATGGAGTGGGGAGAGTACTAAAGGAGTTTTTGGTGAATAACGTGAAGCCGGACCAGTCAGCATTTTTAAAGTTGACAAATTTCCGGTGATCCGCGGAAACAAGTTGGGAGGCCTGTCAATCAAGATTACTATGGGTAAGTGATCCGATGCTAGTGCCAGTATAGGTCGCCAGACTAAACTGTTTATCAGACTAGCACTCGCAATTGTTATATCTGACGAGCTTTGGCAATTAACCGCAACTCTGGTGGGAGTGTTATCGTCTATCTATTCCGCCAGCTCCATCCCTCTAAGGCCATTTGACTATGCCCTGACATACTAGGGTAGTATCTCTGCAGTCGATGTCGCCGTCGATACGGCACGGTGTTGTGCAGGTCTCCTTGCGGATTATGTGGCAAATTGCTTGGATCAGAGGATCTAAGCGGGCAGTCAGCTTCGTTCCCTAGATCGCAGCAATTGACAGGTCCTCCCGGCTCATGAAGTCGACTATCTCGTCCATCTTTCCCTGGGGTCTGTTGCAATTAAATTATAGGAGTCGGGTCTGTCAGAGGTCATGTTCCGACGTACTATAGTTTGACACACCGAACAGACTGTGTGGGGAACTAGAGGCTGCTGGGTAGCCCTCGCAAGGGAGGATGAAGGGGAGATGGTTAGGGTAGGGATGGGCGTGAGTCCACTCTCTATGGGTCTTAAGGTTTTAAGGCCTGAACAGGTCCTGAGATGGCTCCAATCATTGCACTGGTTGCACCCTACCGAGGTGGAGGAGTCGTGGAGTCTTTTCTGGCACACACAGCAGACGTAATCCGTCAGACCAGGGTTGGTTTCGACGCCAGCCCTGCTTTCTTGAGAGTTGAATTAATTATCCTCTTCTCTAGCAGCTTAAATCGATCCACTTCCCAGAACCATATCGCTTATTCTTTTTCTTTTTTTCATTCTTTTATGCGGTTATTCATACGCAATAAATATAGTAGATAGTACGCAAGAAATGTTACAATTTAACGCAAAACTGCATTAAGTTCGCAGTATCGTTTAAAAAAAATCAATGAAACTAAAGTGCAAGGGCTCACGGTGATGTTTAAGTATATTGGAAAATATTTAAAAAAAAAATTTTTTTAACCCAGTACAGTTGTCATCAAAAATGCTTCCGCACTATATAGCAGGACGGGAGCGATGAGGTGCTTGTTGTGTAGCTAGCTGATGCATACACCTTGTCAGTTCTTCACCGCTATGTTTAAATACTTCTGCCGGTAGGCCGTCCCCGCCGGTTGTCTTTTAAGCGGGTGATTGCTATGCGAACGTCTTCATGGTCAGGTAATGGAACAACTTTTCCACCGTCATCAATTGGAGTTTCGGGTTCACCTGCCTCCATAGATTCTGTATACTCTGGACATCGGTAGCTAGATCATCTCTTTGTGTCCTATAAGAGTCTGCTCCGGTCTTGGAACCTTCCGTAATGCGTCGTATCTTCTGATAGAATTTTGGAGCATTACCTTTGTCGGGCAGCTGCTCAAGCTTTTCATACTCACACATCTTCATACTCACTCAACCGAATGAGTCGTAGTGGCTCCACTGAAGCTTCCTCTTTTATTAGCCGTGACCCAAGACTCAACACGATCGTTCACGTTTCCAGGGTGCGCAAAAGTAGAAATTGAGTATAGCCTCGCAATTGAACAGTAAAGTCCTCTCCCAACGAACAAAAACCAAACTCTACAAGTACTTCATTGTTCCTGTCCGGCTACATGGGGCGGAAGCATAGACGATGACAACATCTGATGAGGAGTTTTCAACAGAAAGGTTTTGCGAAAGAATTATGGTCATAGGGCGACATTGACATAGTTCAGCGAACCAAGAAGCAGCAACTACGCTGGTTAAGTCATGTGGTCCTGCTGAATACGAATACTACAGTGAAAGTTTTTGAAGCAGAGGAAGAGGAAGAACTCCACTACGTTAGAAAGACCAGGTAGAGATGGACCGGGTTTCACTTGGTATTTCCAATTGGCGTCAAAAAAATTATGAATTCAAATTACTGCAGATGAAGAACAAAAATTTTCAATAAAAGTTATTTTTATACAGTATTCAGTAATACAAATTATAAAATTAATGCTGCAAAAAGTATCCATTTTAAAAAAGTTGGCAAGTTGGGTCGAATTTTCTTTTTTTGAAAGAAAACAGAAATATATCAAGAATACGAAAAAATATATTTCAAAGTTTGATGTTGTGGGGCTTTTGACTTATTCACTTCCCAATCTTTAGTTTTTGAAAGATTTAACATCGCGATAATACAAATGTCTCATAAACAAAGTATTGTAAAAGATTAATGTTACTTATCGGGCAGGATAATTGCCATGCAAAAGGATTGGTATTTATTTAATCCTAACAAGGAACCCTGCGAAGATTGTGCCTACTGCAATTAATGTTAAGCAGATTACAGATCTCTACATCATCAACAAATTTAAGTCTTTAGTATACTTTCAGTTAACTTCTCTGTAGTAGGCGATGTGACGCATCAGAACTGCTTCTAACGGCCATATATGCACAACATACCCTCAGAAAGGGTCGTTCCTCACAGTAGACATACCTACTCAACAGAGAGCTGCAATGCGTATACCATTTTCGCTCACACTCGAATCAACACTCTGATTTTCTTTGATTCAAATTCGAGTTCGAGTGCGGAGTGAAATTGCCAATTGAATGCAAACATAAATATATTGTTACGACTTTACTAAATCAACCTCGATTATTTTCTAAAACCTTCGGGTACGATCTCTGGATTGTTAAATAAAAACTCGCCAATTCAATTTGCAGTTTCTTTCGTTATGAAGATTTTATCTAATGTCCTTTATTTACCCCGTAATTCACACTTCAATTACAATACACTTTATTATTTACAATCACTATCATCAACTTTCACAATTTACTCTACTTAAATGTAATCTCCAACGTGTTTACTTTACGGCTTTACTGATGTTAACGCCAACGAGTTCGCTTTATCACTAACTTGACTTGCAGCTGAGTGTCGCCTTTATATAGCAGTCGGCTGCTCGCAGACGAAAGCGTAGAAGCATCGAATTGTTCGCTATGGAAGGTTCTTGTTTTATCGTTTCTAGAATTTACTAGTTATCGGCTTCTCTCTTTCATCTGACATTCGCCTCGCATTTTCGCAACAATATGTTGGAAACATTCGAATGCCGTGGGCTTGCAAATTGTTCACCAACGAGTAACAACGTGTATATCTTACCTGTTATACTTATTCTATACTTATACTTATTT